TCGCCGCTCCCCTGCCAGCGCTCCCCCAGGAATCAAGCAATTTAAGCCCTGTATTATACAGCCCAGCTAGGGCCGCTCAAAGCAAAGCATCACCACTGCAAGGGACCGCCACGAAGGGATGATTCTGCAGTAAAGGCACCTACCAGCCTATTTTATTTTTGTTTTTATGCAGAAACTCTTTCTGCCTCAAATAAATCTGTTTATCCCAGCTCAGGAGGCAGGGCAGAAGCTGAAGATGCAGGCAGGGAGTTAACGCATTCCTCCCTCAGCTGCAGGTGCGGGACTACATCCTGGGTGCAGCCCTCCTGGGGAGCCACGCTGCTGAGCCAGCACATACCATGCTAAAATGTTTCCTTGACGACTCACCAGAAAAAGCGCTTACAGCACCGAAGCCCAATTACAGTGGGGAACAAGCAGGACAAGACCAGGGAAATGAAATTTTAAAAAGAACTGATTTGTTTTCTTGTCTCGGATCAGCTGCATGTAGAAAACAGGACAATTTCGGAGCGCCTAGCCTGAACCGTGTGACACAGCTGACAAAAAAGCAAAACAAAAATCTCATCAAGAGGAGCACGCAATAGCTGACACCCAGTAGCGGAAAAGGCTGCAGCCGTTCGGCTCCACGTTCAACTCTGTAATTATGCAATCCAGTGGGATGTTCAGGCGAACATCTGCTAGATGGGAAAGGTGCAGTCTTATCTGAACACAGTGTTCCTGCTCCCTTCCACACCACTGGTCACAGGAGGATTGTGGAGTGGAACAACACACGCTCCCTGGCACGTCCAGAGTGGCCGAGCGCTCTCCCTGCTGCCCATGTGGGCAGTGGAGGCAGAAAGGTGAGACACTCCCAAGGTCAGGGACCCTGGCAGTGGCGTTAGGGCCGCCAGCCTCTTCCTAGCCTCTGGCCTCTCTCTTTATTACAACCTACAAGTCCAAATCTGTCTACTAGAATTCACAGCAAAGCTTGATTAGGATTAATTAGAGACAGCAAACACTGCAGCAGGAAGCATAACCTCTCCAGGACAGAGCCAGCTCTCTGCGCCTGTGACGACATCCAGGCACAGTGGCACCACATTAAAACCACGACGCCAATTTAAAGCGCGGCCATAAAAGCCTGAAGGACTTTGAAGTCATGTTGCTCACAATCATCCAGAAGAGCTAGAGCAACATCCAGTTGCCCCCTTATCTTTGCTCAGGAGTAGGATAAGCTTCACATCCCCTACTAGAGGGTCCCAACCCCACCGACACTGCGCACTGGGGCATCTCCTGGCTGCTGGGAGAGCTGTAGTTCAGCGGCGAGAAGATGGAGAACCCCCTGTTGCCTTTCTAGTCGGGCTGCAAAAACACTGGGGACCTGAATGTAGCACATGACCCCAGGCAGCCCTTGGGCCTCTTTTTGTGTTCAGATGGAGTTTTCAGCTGCCAAAAGGCCCCAGAGAGCCATTTCCCAACCCCAGGTCGGAGAAGGACAAGACAGCTTTGCGAAGGCTGAGTCCAGAATTCACTTCCCTCCTTTGTTTTCTGAGCATCGCTATCTCCCGGCCTGCAGGCTCCTGCCTAGAAGCAGGATTCAGCACTTTAACGCATGTACTGTCCTACCTCTGTGCAGGGAAAGGATGCTCAGCTGCATCCTCCATTATGCCATTCTCCAAGTGCCACTAATAAAGGGGGAGAAGTGCACGCTGAGTAATCCGAGGTTACACACTGCTTGCCAGAGCCAGAGCAGTTACTCTGCCCCAAATACACAGGGTTGGCAGTGTGGTATGGCTCAGTGCTTTAGCTGCACGAGGCTTAACGTCAGACCTCAGCACCTCCCAGCCAGGTAGGGATTAGCGCTGCTGGAGGCTCTTCTCCACCATCTGACCTTGGCGAGCTCCCTTTGCAACCTGCCGTCTCTGCGAGGCTGGTACCAGGCATGGGACAAGGAGTCGGTGGCTGGAAAAGCCACTTCACAGTAGCCAATCCCAAAACTTCTTATTAAGAAGTGATATCCTGTGATAAAAAGCACAGGATATTGTTACTGAGCGGGCAAAACCTCTTTAACTAGAGAGCAGGAGGATGCCCTTGCACAACATCAGCTTGGTTCCCTTTACAATATTGCTTCTCTGGGTATCGCTCCAAAGGGCCTCAACCTGTCTTGGGAGAGCACTGGCAAGTCAAAGAAATCATTCAAGCTGCTTGTAGGAGCAGCATAGAAGATACAAAGAGCGCCGGACTGCGAGCTATATGAGACAGTGACAAGCTATCCCCCCTATTTTCTCTCTCAGCCCTTTCTCACAGAGGGTTCTGGAGCTAAACAAAGTCAGCACCACCAATCTAGTAGGGATGGGTCAGATTGTTTATCACTTCCACCATTTAAAAGTGTCTTCCTATAGATATTACTTGACAGAGAGCTTACTCCCCTTGCTTATTCACCATCAAGAACTATTCTCAGACTAAATTACATGTAGAAGAATACAACTCAAGATAGATATCTGCCTCCCCAAATTTTCCATTTTCTGACCTTCTAAAAGATGTGTTGAAGTTCAGTTACTACAGTCACAGCAGGTAAAGAAATCTACCTGAAGTTTCACAATAACCACCTACCACAACGCCAGGATATACAGACGTTACCACAGTAAGCACAGCTTTAAACCTGGGGGAGCTCAGCATCCCAACCAACAACAAACTCCAGAGGGAAAACAGTTGTTTTGTCTGCAGGCCACCCTTCACAAGTCATCCTGAAGATGCACCTGGATTTTTAATGAGTGGGGTATTTCCTGATTTACTCCGTAGCCAAAGCTGCTCGGCTAAATCCTCTAAGATTTAATTCCACTCTTGCTAATGTCACTTGACAGAGATTTTCCGGGGGTGCTGAAACACTGAAGACTCGAAGGGGATTTCAGAACGGGGTCATGTACAACATGCGTCACTGGATATAGCGAGGCTGCTCGCATCAGGTTGAGTAAACTCTCCTTCATGAAACACTTCCAGGTTGCCACGGGTGCTGCTGACAACACTGCAACATGCACACGTACGTACAGATTCGCATCGCAATGCTGAGGACAAGGTCTGGGTGGGAGAGGAGGTGGGGGACATCTGTAACTTCTACCTGTTTCAAAAACATGTCAAGGCAAAAGCATCAGGTTGAATTTCTGGACCTGTTTTTAGAGGATGGGTTTGTGATACAGCCCCTCAAAGAGCATGCCCTCTACGGAATTCAGACATAGTTTTCAAGTTGACCAGGTGCCACTAAAAACATGCGGTTAAAAAGACATGATAGGAAAAGCAGACCAGTGATACATCTTTGTTTGAGAGATCTACTTCTAAATAAACCTAAGCTTTTGCTGCCGTAACAACTAGAAGTGCAAGCTCTCCAGCTGCACGCATGTCTCATCTGAGCTCGTTAGGCACCAAGCGATCAGAGATTTCTTGGCCTCATTCAAAATTAACTACCCTGACTCACATGTGGCAGAAGGCCAGGTCTGGCCAGTGTTTTGCTGCTTCCCATCAGTGCGTCCTCTGCCCTCATCACAGCACCCTGCCACCCGCGCTGCCTGCCCTCTCTTCCTGCACAGGACACACAGGTTTTGCACAACCTGTCCAAACCCTACAGCAAGCCACAGTGAGGGCTAGCCAGCTCTTTAGGAGCAAACTCTGCTTAATCCATCCCAGCTACTGCAAAACCTTTCCTCCAGATGGATCCCATCCCTCCCTGGACATGCCAACACCTCCTCTCTCCCCATATTGAGGGGGCTGGTACCCAGGAGGGGTACCAAGCCTCCAGTCCTCCTCTCCTCCATCAGGGCTCTGTGAGCAAACATCCCCTGCATCAGCAGCAGCTCTAGACAGACCACATACCAGTGTTGCAAGACTGAGGAAGGCCCTCTAGGGCAAAACCTACTGCCGCAAGGCACGCGGGGCTGTAGGTTAAGAATAAATTTAAATTATTGCTCACCACCATGTTCTTTTCCCACCAGCCTTGTTAAGGCCAATTCTGCTCTCTGTGACTAGAGTGTTTCAGTCGGGTGCTCCTGCTCTGCTCTAACAAAGGCACCTGAACAGATGGAACAAAACAAGCCACAGCAGAACAAGCTCAAAAGATGAAGCGTGCTGCCAAAAATCTAACTCAAAGTTTCAGCAAGTAGTCTCTTTTTTCCCTGGGATCCTGGCTGTAGCATGGCAGCTAGTAACTCAGCTATCAGCTGAAAATAAGTTACCTAAAAAAATAATTAAATTTTTAAAAAACACTTCTAGAGCTCGTAGTAGGAAATACAACAGGTGAGACACGCATAGATGGCAGGAAGAGATAACCTGCTGGCTATGCTGGGCTACAAGGAGGTTTCAGTTGCATTACACAGACGATCACGGACAGCCTCCTCCAATACAGGGTAACCACAAGCTGAAGGACAGGCTCTTTCTGGCACAGATCTGCAGCTTGCTCAAAAGCTAGGTCAGTAAAGCAGCTTCTCCAGCCCAGCCTGGAGGATTTTCACTCGGAGGCTGAGCCAGGCATTTATTACTTCTATTTAACCAAGTGCAGCTACGTCTGTTTATTTACTCATTTGGGAACAAGCTCTGCTCCAGACTCTGTACAGGTACGTGTCCAAACTAAAGATGCAAAAGAGCAAAGAGCAAAATCCAAAAGAGCACTTAGGTTCCTAAAGTGCTGCGCAGGCAGAACGGAGGCACTGGTTATCCTCAAGCTCCTGAAGGCACCCCGGGTGCTGAGGACACTTCAGATTTCTGGCACTATTTTCCCAGAAGCTGCCGCACACGTTCATACTCAGTTCAGCCACAAGCCCCTCCGCAAGCAGCAGCACTGTTTCGGATTCAGAAGAACAGAGACCACGGTCATTGCCAAATTGTGCACCGGGCAAGTGTTGCACTTACCCTTTGTATCCTGCACTTACACCGCTTGCATGGGATATAGAAGTGGTCAAGGTCTTTCTGAAGTGATTTTGTGGTTTCTAGGATGTGTTTGACAGCAAACTGTTATTAGGTGAAAGGAAACAAGTTACCGTGGAGCTGAACCACGGCCAGCTGGGTCAGCTCTTTTCCCAGCTTTCCAGAGCCCCCAGCTCTTGGGCTGTGCATTTCAGAGCAGCCCTGCTTTAATGAAAGGCAGTCATCAAACACAGAAAGCCGCAGCCTGATGTTCTTCAGTTGTAAAGACAAGTGACCATCTCGGGAAGAGCCCAGTCTGGCTGCCCACATGGCTCATACACGTGCATTGATATAACTGTGTAAGCTTGAGGCGCAACTGGGAACAACTTCTGGTCATACAGAGTCATGAACCATGAACTTAACTCCTGAGTCCTTCTCAAGGCTTTATTCAACATCTGCCAACAGAAGGAAAAAATGGGGATGCCCTGTGAAGAACAGGTATAGAATAAGTAATTCAAGACAGCAGCATCGAGTGAACTTCAGCCTAGCACTTCTGAACTACATACAAGAATCTCACAGGATCTTTAACACTGTTTGCTAAGACTTTAATAAAACCAGAAGTGAAGTAGCTCCCCTGAACCGTAACACTACAAGGCTGGATCAGCCAAACACACATTGCCACTGACTTGCAAAGGTGTGGGGGACAGCACAATCTGCTCCTGTGTTTGGAGAGAAACAGAAACCACAGCCAGGCACGCAAACATCATACGTTGACTCTGAAAAACATCTCCAGGAGGACAACCCAGCCTCTCGCTCAGCTTTCCCCTCCCGACTCAGCTGGTAGCTGCCGGCTCTCTGTTTTATGATGGTGGCGTGCGTTGTGGGGTAGGAGGAAGAGAGACAGAAGTGTGCGGTAACACTGGCCAACAGCTACGTAACAGCTCTCGATGGGTAATGTAAGATACACAGGGCTGACATGGGAAGTCCCATGGCTTAAAACTCTACATTTCCTGGCTCCCAACCCAGTAATCTTCTTCCAGGCCAGATGGCTCAAGCCTATCGATCTGTACCCACCAAGCACTGGGACTCCTCCAGCCTCACCGGTGAGGCCAGGCAGATTTTAACGGCTGAGTTATTTTTACAAAGCACAGCAAAATGGAAGTTAGAAGGCTTAGAGCAGTCAGGTGCCAATGGCTTTCCATATGAAGAGAAAAAGGCAGGGCTGATGAAGCAGAACCATCCTGCAGATACTGCAATGCCATTTAAGGATGGACCTGACCAAGCTCTGAAGTTTTGGATGGGGCAATACTTCCTGCCTTCCTCTTCACCAAAATGGGTGCATCGGTTTTGCTAGAACTTAAAGGCCAGCCATAAGGCAAAGGACATTTAGAGACCATTATCTTGGCAAGTCAAAGCAACCAAAAGGAGGAGCTCTAATAGAAAACATTAGGTAACAGGCAGCACTTGCCACTTCTGCCTGTAATATATTTCTTTTTGCTTTAGATGAACAGCTGCCATTCAGGCACATCTTATCCCACCCTCCCACAGGCCTTGGATTAAGTTGGTTTTCACCCCACCTCACCCTTACAGACTAAGTTGTTTTTCACCTCACAGGAAAACTTGCATTTAAATTTCATTTCTTCAAATACTGTAAACCCCCCTCCCCCCCTTATTCCTCTAGGTTACGGTTTGCTCTCCATGCTGGTCACTTCCAGCCTTCTCGTGCTCCTAGTTTTCAGTTTAGGAAAAAGATTCAGAATAAAACCAAACTTTGTGTTTTAAAACCTGGGAGTTAGGGAAGCCATAGCATCTCTCTGAGATCGGTTATAAACCTTAAATCTCAATACCTCATGGAAGCTCATGCATTGCCATCCTACTGATACAAAACCAGAGCTTGCATGTATTAAATGAAGTTCCTCCCAAATTACCATGTTCTTTCGCAGCTGACAGAGTCCTGACAAGCAGTCCACCACCAGCATTTCGTCTCGGGAGGGTCTTCAATTTAGTACCACCCTATATTGGCCAGCTCTGCATGTGGTATACAATGGGCAACCTGGTTTATTATACCAAAATGAAATAGATATGGCAATTGCTGTCTTTAACCAAAATATAAGTGTCCTGTCTGACAAAGTACACGGTCCTTTTGCTTCGTTTTAAAGACAGACCCACGTTTATCAGGTCTTCGAGGCTCTCTGCAAGGGAGCTGCAGCGAAGACTGCAATTACACACAGGAAATGCATGGGGCTGGTCCGCAAAGAAGCCGCAGAACCAATTAGCAGTTTCAGCATGTTTGCGCCTCCAGTTTCTCATTTTCTTTAATAAGCATTTTCTGGCATTACCAGTCTAGAAGCCTCTTTCTCAAAAGAGCGTCCTAGATACTTAATCCACCAGTGACTCCTACTTAATACCAAAATGAAAATAAACATCCAACCCTCTGAGACTAAGGTGGAGAAAGACTATGTCATCACTTCTCTTCCATCAAAATTATTTAAGCCTGAAGAAATGCCGGTTTGAGAGGAAGTATTGTGGAATTAAAAAAAAACAAATCCAGTATGTGTATCAAAAGCTACAAAATACAGCACAATATGCACCCCCTAGAAAAACTTAATTATCTTATAACATAAATTAGCATTACAGGAAAAAAAACCCCAAACAGTAAATTAAGCAAAGGCAATTGTTAGCCTTCCAGATTTCAGTTCTGATCACTGAACAAACAGTCCTTACCAACACAAAAATTATCCCATAACATGTGCTATTTAAACCCACAAATAACCACCACCTGTTAGGCCAAACTGAAAAACTTCACCTTATTTCTGGATTCCACCTAGGCAAGTGTTTGCCCTGTAACTGAAGAGCATGTCATTTAACATTGACAAGTACAGCTTCAAGATGGTATAATTTTCTGCTCTCTTTGTTCCAGCTTTGAAGTTAGGGACTATTTTATATCTCTAATTCCTGCCAGCAAATTCTATGCTGTTTTGTACGCTGCCCCCATCAACATGCATCTAGACAGATGGCGAGAGCAGCACTGAATACATACAGAAAAGAAAACTGTCATTTTAAAGACGACCCATTTAAAAGTGACATTTAAAGAGAAGACAAGCGGTTTCAGGTATTACATCTGCCCTCTCGGCAGCGCGTAGGACTTCTGATCATATTACCCCTTCCTCTTGGCGTGGGGATGCACATGCTGCAGAACTGGCTGCACAGACAGAAACTGTAAAATCAAGAAATCTGAGAGAGAACCAAGTTTCACATCAGCATCTAAATGGAGTGACTGACTGCATGAAGTGCCATCAGGCACACATTCAGGGAAGGAGCACTCAGCCAGATGATGATTTTAGCCAGCTGCCTCCCTTTGAAAAATGCAGTAATGGACAATTTTGCCTTGAAAAATCCACAAAAATTTGGTCCATCAGATGTGCAGAGAGACTATAGAAGGAAAACTACTGCAGCATCTTTGCCATCAGCTGCTGTATCCTGCCCACACTAGAGGCTTTGGTAATATTTTTGCTTGCACTACTGCCCAGGTCATGGAAAGCGCCAAACACGACAAGCGAGCATTGAGACACGGGCAAATTTTCCCTGTCTTTTTAGAGTGGTTAGCAAAGTACCATCACTTCTGCCTTGCATTAGAGTCTTCCCTCTCCACACATTAACTAGCATGGTAAACGCCATCAGTGTCGCAAAGCCAGCATGAACTTCAGTTCCCAACTCCACACTTAGAAGTGAGCTGGGCATCCTGCAGGAAGAAACCAGGCCACCCAACCGGTGGCAATGGGAGACTCCAGCTAACCACCTCCATTTTACTTTGTAAAATGGAAACTTGTGTTTCTAGGCCTTATGCCAAGCTTGAAGGTTTTTCTTCAATCCCTCAGATCTTCAGCACCTCAAGTAAAATTAATGGACATCAGAGACGACACTTAGTCGAAGCTAGGCTGCCAGCTTCTGCGGGGCCAGAAGCTGACCTGCTTCGGACAAAGCAGTAACGAAACGGAGCAGGCTCCAAGAGCAGAAAACCAGCCGTGTCTCACCTCAGCTGTTGTAACCCCCAAGATCTTATTGACTGTGTCGACACAGCAAGCGAGCGGTACATACTGCTGTCAGTATTTCCATCGCTGATGTGCACATTGATCAGATCGGCCATTTTAAGGTACAGCAGCCTGCCGTGAGCCTTGCAGAACTTTGGAGATGCATCTTGAGCTTTGGAAAGATTTCACAAAATCTCTCAAAACTTACCAATTACATAAAAATATTTCTCAAGTGCTCCAAACCCTTTGTGAGCTGTATCGACGTGCCAACCAAAATTGCTCCCAATGCTCAAGTTGCTCAAATTGGTGCAAAGTGGCCTTAATTACCTGAGCTTGTACAGCCCTGAATGAAAAATGAAAATCCATATGCAGCCCTTCTGAACCAGGCTCTAATCACTGGAAGGCCAAAAGGACTAGCATTAGAAAGGTGTTTATACAGGTATTCACACAATAACTGAAGCAGTACTGTAACTGCGCTGCTGCCCAATTTCAACTGGAGAAAAAACAAGTAAATATCCAAGACCTCAGGAGGATGCTGTTAACTTGCCCTTTAAACAAAATCAGTTCCACCCACAAATCAGGAATTCCACCCTAAGATATGATTGGGAACACCTTGAAGCCATTCATTTCATGCACAGAAACAACACTATTCTGCTCTACTGTTGGAGAGAATTTTTTTTGTAGGTAATAAACTAGTAGAAAAGCCTGCAACGATCACAAAATGCTCCAAAGGTAGAAAGCAGCAAAGCAAAGGTTGACCCACCTCACTGTCACCCTGCAGCGCATGTGGCTGGGACTCTCTCCCATCCTGCAGGAAGAAGAGGAGGGAGATTAAGATGACCTACATTACTCCTGCTTTAAATATAAGATAGTGTCACTTTTATTCTACCTACCTCATTCCTCCCCATCCTTCCTGCCCCACGTGAAGTTGAGCAAGACACTGTCTGCTCAGGTGGCACACACGCAGGTGGGAGGCAGATAGTAAGTGCCTCAAGCTTGGGCTCACAAGAGACTGACTTTGCAAGCGATGCTCTTTTAATAGAGATTACGTGCGTTTTTCATGTCAGTCCTCAACTCCATCAGGTTGTGTTTCACTGGTCCCAGTGGTCTTCTCAGCCACTGGAGATCTGGACCTTAACTTACTTGGGGTGACAGAATATAAAGCAGCAACTGAGAATGGCAAACTCCAAAGGGAAGAAAAGTGTAACTGGCAATTTAAACAACATCTTGCCAGGCAGCAAATGAAAGGGCAAAATAATCTTGACTAATTCTACTCTTGCAGAATCATAACGTGGTCAC